GTGCAAGACATATTTTCTTTGCCAAACCATCATATTTTCTTGTGCAATCAATGAATAGGAGGAGCATGTTATATTAGAAAAAGCCCAGTTGACACCTTGGGTGTCCATAGACCACTTTTTGATCAATCGTTGGCATTCTAAAAAATCGCTATGCAAATTAAAAATGAGAGCTGAGTACTATTATATGAATTCCACATACAATTCAACCCTATATTAATTAAGCATCGTAATTCGTGGTAAAATCTTCGGTAGCTTAGTCTGATCACGTGAATTGTTTGAATGTTCTCAAAAAAAAAATAATAATAATAAATCAAGATCATGTAATTTGGTCCAACACAACCTCACACTAATGATACTCCGTTCGAAGAGGGTGCCACATTCGGCAGCCCCACCAAAAATTTTCTCGCAATTGCGTGGTTTTTAGCTCTAGTTATGAAAACTTAGTTAAAACAGTAATTACTTCTACGGACTACAGTCTAGTCTAAATTAATTCAATCCAATTTCTTAATTAACTAAACAAGTCGATGATCACAAATTATGTAAAGTAGTCATGCACGATCAATTGGTTTTGTTCGTATTCAAAACTGTAAATCACAGAACTTCCTTCTACTTGTGGTTGTTTTTCAACCGCGGGGGGTTGGTTATTCTCCATAAAAATCAAGAAACCGTCCATCGCTCCTGACTTTCTTCATAGCGAATCTTGGCCGTCCGTTCCCATTCAGTGTAAACAATAATGGCGGGAAATCCCTCCTCATCATCATCAACCTCTGATCTCTCTCTGCGACTGCGAAGTCTGCCGGATGATCAAGAAAATCAAGAACGTCACGGAGACGATTAATCTCTCCCTCATTTTCTTGAATCTTCTAAAATGAAATTGAATATTACCAAATCCTCCTATGAAATTGAAGAAGATCAAATTTACCTAACACCAATTAATTTCACAGTATAGATTTTCAATTTGATAAACACTCTGGCTTCTTCTCCGAATCTTCTGGATCATCTTCTTCATCACCAGAGTCTGAATTGTAAGAAAGCACTAGCTTCTTGCTGATACTACTGCTAGTGCTCCTCCGCTTCCCATTAGGGGGCACAGCCCTGGGGCGCTGCTCCTTGTCAATAGAAATCAAGAGCCGTCCCTCGCTCATCATCCTCGTTTTCCTTTCCAGAGTGAATCTTGGACGTCCGTACATGTCCAGCGTGGACAGCAGCGGCAGCATTGGCCCCAAATTCTTCATCAGCCTCTGTTTCCTCAGCATTGACGACGTCGTTCTCAGTTTTAATGCTGAAGAAGAAGAAGACGATGACGATATCCCTGATCGGACGTCTTCATCGGCCATCGCCGTCCACAGCGTCTCGGCCACCATGAAATCGCCGCTCTCTGAGCCCAGAATCTCCGTACACATCGTCAAGTCCGAACCCTCAGCACCAAGAAAAACATCATCTTGATGATCATGATGATGATCAGGTCGTTGATCAAGAAATGAGTTTTGCACATCTTTCATTTGCTTAATTGCTTTCATTTACTAAAACTACCAACATTTTTCTATCCACGATCAAAACGCAACATTTTTCTATCCACGATCAAAACGGCGTCGTTCTTCAGTCATCTCCAGCTTCGCAGGCATCAATGTCGCCGCCATCTTCCGCCGATCCTCTCTCTCTCTCGATCCTCTGCTCTGCTTCTTCAACGGTCCAAAATCTTTTCTTTGCTAGGCTTTAGGAGGGTACATGCGGACACGTGGCAGCATATAAAAGTTCAACAAGTATTTGGGCCTACTTGGGGTCAAACTGAAAATAACGAAGAGTAGCTCAAGTCGTTTCTACCCACTAAAATACGAAAATAGTAAGGGCATTATTGAGTTTTTAAAGAAACGTGTCACCTCTGTTGGAGCAAAAGCGCGCCGTCTCTGTTCTCTTTGCCTCATTGGACCGGACGATATGACGGACGACGAGCTCCTGATCAAACTCGACGACTCCACCCGCAACGCCACGCGTCACCAGCTGGACACCCTCCGCTCCATCCTCGATCAAAACGGTACCGTGTTGTATCTCCAGCCTTACCTCCCACCCCACGATGCGCCGCTCGACGCCGCCACGTTCCGCCTCTCCGTGCCCTTGTCTTCGTACGATGACTACGCTGACCTCGTCAATCAAATGGCCGACAGTCCACGTCATCATCATCAACCTCTCCTCTCTGTCGATGCTCTGCTCTGCTTCTTCTACAGGTACATATATATATATCATCAATCTGACTCTCGATCTCACTCTTCTGCCATGGCAAATCTAAATGAAAAATTGGTCCTTTATATAATTTTTTGGCTGTTGAAGCTCCGGGACAAGTTCACCGAGGCCCAAGTTGATACCTTACTTCGATTCTAAACTCTCGAAAGCCGCTTCCTACATAGCTCACCAAGGCAGTGCCGCAATTCTCAAAAGGTATAATTTTTAACAAAATTCTTGATTTCTGTTTTTCATTTTTGTATTTAACGTAGATTTTTGTGTGATGGGTTTGGTTTAAAATTTTGTATCTAGGTTGTTTCCTCCAAGGCCTACAGTCAATAAGATACTATGGTTTATATATGCCGATAATGTAAGAACTACTAGAGGTGGTGTTAAGGTTATGGCTGCTTCCACATACCCTTTGCAGAGTGGCAATGCAAATTGGTCTCAGTTTAGCTTTATTGTTAGTCCCCGGGAAGTTATTCTTGGGTCCAATGCTGAGCACCAAATGTATTGCCATCTTCTATGTGGCATTAGGAGCTTTGATTTAGTCGATGGAATTCGAGCCCCGTATGCCATAGGCCTGATCAAAGTGTTTTGCCTTCTAGAGTCCAAGTGGGAGCAGCTATGTCATGATCTTGAACATGGGTTCCCGAGTTTGGAGATTTCTGATGTAGCAATGAGGAATTCTGTTGTTGAGGTTCTTGGTGGGCCTCAACTGGACTTGGCAAAGAGAGTTCGATCAGTTTTCGAGGAAAATAGTCGGGGTGGGATTGTGAGCAAGTTATGGCCAAACGTTCGTTATGTTAGGTGTGTTACTACTGGAAGTATGGAGCAGTATTATCCAAAACTTAAGCACTATGCAGGAGAGATACCTCTTTTAGGTGGAGACTATTTTGCCTCAGAATGCTGTGTGGGTATTAACTTGGATATTATGCAACCCCCCGAGAAAACTCGATTCATTTTGCTTCCAACTGCAGCATATTTTGAGTTTCTTCCATTTGATATGAATGAGACTGATGCTGCTGGCAAAGAAACAGTCGATATTTCTGGTGTTGAAGTGGGGAAGATGTATGAAGTCATTGTCACTACTTACAGAGGATTTTACCGGTATCATTTGGGTGATATAGTGAGGGTTGTTGGTTTTTATAATTTATCTCCACAAGTGGAATATGTCATGAAAGCACCCAAAGGGCCCAATGAGATTATAAATGAAAAGGACTTGATGTCTGCAATCCACAAGTTTCAGCTTGACCTTGGAAATGCAATGGAAATGGAGATTACGGAGTTTGCGAGTTTTGTAGACATGGAGTTGAGCCCAAAACAGTTGAAGGTATTTGTAGAAGTTGAAGAGGGATGCCTGTCGCTTATGCAAGAGAAGATAGAGGAGTCAGTTGTAGTTCTAAGGAGGTTTTGTTCTTCCCTCGAGGATGGTTTGGGAGGCATTTACAGGGTCCAGAGAGATAGAGGTGAATCAGGCCCTTTGCTATTATATGTTGTAAAGCCTGGTAGCTTTGACAGACTATCACATGTAGCCATCAGGAATGGAGCACCACCTAGTCAGTATAAACCACCCAAGATCATAAGAAATCGTGAAATTGCTCGTTTCCTTGAAGGATCTGTTCTTGTTACCATTATATGAATTCTCAACAAGAAAGAGAAATCAAGGTTTACTCTTGGCAAGATGCGTCCTCCTGTATGATTTATATCTTGAACCTTAAATTATGGATGTAGTGTACAACACACGTGTCTGAAAGTTCTTCACCTTGAACTGTAGTTCTGATTAACTAATACATTGTTGTAACAAATGATTCTTGTAAAATTTGTTCATAATCGTCTGTTACTCTGTGTCTCTAACTTGTTTATTTGTTGGTTCTTGTTTATGTTTGCTTATGGCTTTTGTTTTTGTAAGAGATGTTAATCAAATCTACAATTAGCATCAGCTCTTTTGGGGGTAATAAAAGCAAAGAAAAGATTCTGGTACGAATCAATTTAAACATCTGTAAAAATAACAGTACAACTCTTGTGGTGTCGAAGAGTGATCCTTCTAGCAGGTTGCTGGATTGTGCTGTCACAATTTCAATGAGAATTACCAACAAAGAGTTGCACTTTGCTGGAGTGTTCCTTCTTCATGATGCAGAAACCTAGAATAAATTGGAAAAACTTTGCACTTTCTGAGTATGAATAGGTTTTAATTATCTCAGAAGATTCTTAGAACTAAACTGTGCACTAATTTACCAAAATTAGAGGCTTCCTTCCAGCGTTATCCATTCCAGCTTTATCGAAGAGCTGTCATAATAGGAATTTAGAACCTGAAGAATAGCATAGGTTATAGTTCCAAGTCTGGGAGTAAAGCCTGAGATAGTTCGAATACTATAGTATTTATTTAGCTTTGAATTGTAGAACAAAATTCTCTGCTTTAATGAAATTGGAATTTGTAGCTTGCTAAATTTCCTGCAGTATAAGTCGGAAAATGAATTTCAGCTGGAAAAGAAAAGGTGGAAGGCTCTAATCAGCAGAAAGAAGCCAGTAGAGTTTTAAATGACGGTTTAAAACATTTAACAGTGATTTTCAAGGTTTCACGGCAGTTTAGAGCTTTAGTGACGAGTTTTGAAGCGAAATAGATTTGGCAACGCTTTTAGTCGTCGCTAAGCGTTGCTAACAGGATCTATAGAAACGGTTAAGAAAACCGCCGCTAAAAGTTGATTTTGAGTTTTATTTTACACATCTCCGAATATTAATACGAATGTATATTTCGACAGATAACATGACTTTAGGAATTTATAAAGTTAGAAAGAGCATACATTTTCTTTGACGGTCCATGTTCACAAATATTAAAAGAAAATGTTCAAAATTTCACTAATGCTATTCATTCGGATTTTATACAATGTTGTGCAGGTAGGCATTAAACTATTTTCCCGCTTCTCCGTGGCTTAGGCAGAGGCACCCCCACATAGTTGGATTAGGCACGCAGCTAACCGATTATCCGAGACTGCAACAAACACCAAAGTGTCAGGTAAACTCCAAAAGTAATTTCATCTCCTACTAATCAAGGAAAGTAACCATAAATATGATAAATACATGTGCAAAATAATAGAATATCAATCTTCAAAGTAACAAAACCCGCTGGTGTTACATGAACATAAATCCATGCATGAGCAATAAAAATGGTTTTGAATAAGTAACAATAAGCACGATAATGGACAGGCATTTTTACTTTATAAAAAATAAAAAATAAAAAATTATAGCCGTACGGCTGTACTTTTTAAATATAATATATTTATAGAGGCAAATGTACTATAGATAGCCTGAAAGGGAATCTCATGCATATTTTGGTTCGCGACGTGTCTAATACATGAGTTGTGCAAGGATTATTTTACTGCAGCCGGCCAAAAACTCGGAAATCCTCTCGCTGGAAAATATATTACTCTCTCGCTGGAAATCCTGTTTCACTTAAGCGTCTGCTTTGATGGAAGTACATTTGCTGAGATAATTTCATCTGACCAAAAATCACATTAAGAATGTAAGCACATATCGGCTACAGATTATTCTAAGAGGAATGGATCTTCCTCTCTTACATGTCTCTTTGTGTATTTTGCGTTCTCTTTTCGCCTTGTGATATGCAGTTTAGGTACTGATCAATATGAGAACCATGCCATCCAATCCCACAATCACCAATTACCCTCTGGATGTCAATTTCTCATTTTGAAGAGTGGACTGCTATAACTCAAAGCCAAGTTCAGGAACATAAGCATCAAGCTTCAGCTGCCCATATAATTCTGCCAGCAACAAGTAAATTTCATTTGAAGCTGGATGAGATTTATCAGATGCTGCAAACTGATGGACTTTCCTTTCCATTTCAATCCAACTGGACCCAGGGCATCCCTTTTCTACCCCAAGTTCCTTCATAGTTGCTCGTGTATCTGCAACTTGTCGCCATCGTTTGGCTTCAGCATACATGTTAACCAAAAGGGTGTAATAACCACTATTATTTGGCTCCAATACCATCAATTCATTGACAGAAACTTTAGCAATCTCCAAGTTCCTATGAAGCTTACATCCACCCAACAAGGCACCCCAGATAACAGCATTAGGTTCAAATTTCATGCTTCTTATCAACTCTAGTGCATCTTCAAGCAATCCAGCTTTGCTCAATAGATCCACCATGCATCCAAAGTGTTCAACTTCGGGAAGAATGGAATAATCTTGGGTCATGCTTGAAAATCTCCTACGGCCTTCTTCAACAAGCCCTGCATGAGTGCAGGAACTTAAAACACTTACAAAAGTAACCCCATTTGGCTTGATCTTCTCTCTCTCCATTTTGCTAAACATTGCTAGTGCTTCTTTGGCAAATCCATGAACTGCAAGTCCTTCAATTGCTGAATTCCAACAGAACAGGTTCTTGTCCTGCAATTTAAAGAAAACCAAAAGAGACCTATCCAATGCGCCACACTTAGCATACATATCAATCAATGCGGAGCCAATATAAACATCAAGATCAAACCCATTTTGCAATATGTAAAGATGTATCTCCTTTCCCAAGTCAAGGGCTCCAAGATGGGCACAAGCTGAAATAACAGTTGCCATAGTCACTTCATCAGGGCTGATCCCCTTCATCCTCATGTCATTAAAAACTGCTAATGCTTCCCCAAATTTCTTATTTTGGGAATAACAATCAATCATAGTAGTCCATGAGATAATATCCCTAGTTGGCATGTGATTAAACAACAACTCTGCAGACTCCACATTGCCAATTCTAGCGTAGCCGTCAATCATAGTATTCCAAGTAGTTATGTTCCTTTCCTCCATCTCATCAAATAATATCCTCGCGGAACTCATATCCCCCACTCGAGCGTGAGATGAAACCATAGTAGTCCACGCAAAAGCGTCTCTTTCAGGCATTTCATCAAACACCTTTCTGGATTCACTGATTCGTCGCACCTTCGAATAAAAATCAATCAAAGAAGTCTGAACAAACACATGTGACCCAAACCCATGTTTCCAAATGTGTCCCTGAACAGCTTCTCCAACCCCCAACGCAGATAGTGAAGTGCAGGCCTTGATTAACGATGAAAAAGTATAACTGGTAGGCAAAACCATGCCCCTGAGCATATTGATATAACAACCTAAAGCCTGAAATGGGTGACCGCAACAAACAAAGCCTTTGATCATCGCATTGTAGACAAAAACATTGGGACTTTCAATCTGGGTAAAGGCTAAAACTGCATAATCTATGCGGGAAAGCGTCGAACAGGCAGTAATGAGTTGGTTCATGAAGAAAGAGTCTTGGGTAGCATTGGTCTTGATCATTGAGGCACATACTCGTTCTAGCTCTGTTAAAGTTGAACATTTCTTTATCTTTTCAACAATGGATGATGGGTCCTGAGACAGGGGTTTGGGCAGTTGAAGAAGAGGTTTTTGTTTAAAAAACAGTTAAAGTTGGCTGTGCATTTCATCCGCTTGAAAATCATTGCCCAGGTAAAATCTACAGATGATAACTACCATTCCGAGTTTTTGGCCGGCCGCAGTAAAATAATCCTTGCACAACTCATGTATCAGACACGTCGCGAACCAAAATATGCATGAGAATCCCTTTCAAGCATTCTATAGTACATTTGCCTCTCTAAATATATTATATTTAAACAGTACAGCCGTACAGCCACTCTTAACCGTCTTTTACGACACTACAAGAAGAATAGAGAAACACAAAAAACAAATTAGATATTAAGAAGATTAAGGCAAACGGAAGAAGCAAGCATTCAAAACTTTCAAAGACGCTATAAAATGCCTCCCAGAATTTATGTTTATATTCCAGTACATCATTTCCCAACCTCTACCAGCATTGGCTATGACGTTTTAATAACAAAGTAAATAAACAGATAAGGCAACCCAAACTAATCTCTTATGCTGCAGGTCCTATGAGTGCAAGGTTAGAAGATTATTATATAAAAATCGCCCCTTGAACACACCCTAAATCATTTAGTGATCTTATGGCTTCCATCCCTTTATATTACATAAAGGGTGAAGTATATCCCATTCAAGTATACAATAGCTAACCTGCAATAAACCTCGTAATATTTATGAAAAGACAAATAAGTCAAAGGATTAACTCCAATTTCTCATAATTCTTGAGCTAATAACAGTAAACCCAAGAAGGAACCCAAGACTTAATTATGAGCACATACGAGAAACATATTCAATTTTAACTCCAATTTCTCATATATCATCATCATCATCACCTTCAACACATACAATTTAACAGTACTTCTAATTTGAAAAGTATATTAGTTACCTTACCATGCTTCATATGATCATCGCTCGAAAGCTCTCAAGAGCGAGCAATTTCCCCTTTCAATCACATTGGTTGTCCTTGGTGGTGACACTGTTTTTTTTTTCTTCACTACTGTAGGCCACAAATCAGAAAAATCATGATGATGAAGAAAACATAATGCTCACATAATTTATCATAGAACAACAAAATTAAGCCACAAATCACACCAGAAGGATTAAATTGAAAAAATATCAACTTGTACATTAGGGAAAGAACAAAGGATACAAATTTTGATTTTCTACAAGTTAGATCTGTGGAAAATAATAAAGAGATAACAATTATTAAACCACTTAGATATATCTGGGAAATATAAAATGCGCAATTAACCTAGAGTAGAAGCCAGAGGTTACCTTGTATTGGACAAATTAGGAGCATGGTAGTGCATTTTCCCCTCTTGCTACTAATCTGTTAGAGGTAAAGTGGCTAGCACTTGTGAAGAACTAGGTTTAGGGATTTTGTTTTTGGTCGAATACACTTGGGGATTTTGGTTTTAGTCGATAACCGGTTGGCCCCAAATCGCAGGCCTATAATCCTCATCTCCTATTCTTCAAGTTCAGAGAAATTGGGCTTTTGTTTTTTGGTGGCCCAAAGAGTTATGAGCCCGCTCTAGATAAAGAGAATTATAATGCTCTAGAAACCCAAGCCTATAATAGCAAATTGTACAGTATGCAAACTAACACAAATATATTGGCTAACTCATACAATCGGCTTTTGCTTTTAAATAGAAAATATAATACAATTGGCTACTTTTTGTTTTTTTGGTGGCCCAAAGAGTTATGAGCCCGCTCTAGATAAAGAGAATTATAATGTTCTAGAAACCCAAGCCTATAATAGACAAATTGTACAATATGCAAACTAACACAAATATATTGGCTAACTCATACAATCGGCTTTTGCTTTTAAATAGAAAATATAATACAATTGGCTACTTAACTTTCATCTTTGTCAACGGTCTAGCCCAATGAAAAATGGCATTAATTTGCAAACTAGTGGTTTCACGTTCAAAATCCCATGACACTTTGATAGTGTGTGAGTAAGAAACCTCCATTTTCACCGTTAATCCCATAAAAACAAAAACAAAAACTTTCACCTTAAATCCAAGTATTAGTTGGTTCTTGTTTATGTTTCAATTTAATTATATGTAAAAATAACAGTACAAAATTCTTCTGGTGTGAGTGCTCTTCATGTCTTCTCTTGTTCTTCCTTAATCATCTATTTGTTAATGGCTCCTTGGATTTGTTCCAGGGTTTTCCCTTTTGTTTCAGGTACAATCACAATCACAAACAACACAGACAGAACATTTACTACTGCATAGAGAATGAAGGTACCTGAAAATCACATACAAGTAAATTAATGAATAGCTCTTATAAATTACTTGGACTTAGTTTTCACAAAATAGAAGAGTTCAAATTATAGTAATTGCCATGCATGATCAGATTGCTTAATTAGTTTACTCTACTAAATATTTCTCTTTATAACAGAAGAATAAGTGAAGAAAATGTTGATGTCTATTTACCGTAGGAGCTCCAACTCATAAGAAAGTTGAAAGTGTAGGAACACAACCATGCACCAAGCCAGTTCACTAACGTTGTTAAGCTTCCAGCCTGTCCTTTAATGTTTATAGGGAATATCTGCAGAGGATATAATTTTTCTTTAGATTGGTGACTTGATCAAGACAATCATGATGAATAAAATGAGTAAACCTAGCAGATTTTGTATACCTCCGACATCAGAACCCAAGGAACTGCTCCCATTCCTATTGAAAATGATCCTATAAAGATCTGAATGCAGAAATGAATTGTTAACTAGAGAATGAAAAGAGAAAAGACACGAAAAGTTGAATTTAAAAGAAACTGATCTGCATGGAGAGTATGCTTTGAGAAGGCCTAATGAGTTACTAACCAATATTCCCGCTACTGCGAAGATGGGAGATGCCTTGAGTGCCAATCCATGAACCTATTTCACAAAGGCTCCCTTCTTATGTTTTGTTGGATAAACCTAAACAAAAAGATATTAGGGTCAGCGTTTGATGATTACCTTGAGAAAGAATGAAGTGGCAATGAGGACGCAGCCAAGTACCAACCCTGATGCAGAAACCTGGAATAAATTGGAAAAAGTTACAATTCCTGAGTATGAATAGGAGTTTATCTTAGAAGATTCTTGGAACTAAAAGTGTGCACTAGTTTACCAAAATTAGAGGCTTTCTTCCAGCTTTATCCATTACGGCTGCGCCAAGGCCAGTAACCACAACCTGTGAAACAAAACCACATGAACATAATGGGGAGAAATTAAAAGATTCCACCAAGAGCTGTCACAGTAGGAATTTAGAACCTGAAGAATAGCATAGGTTATAGTTCCAAGTCTGGGAGAAAAGCCTGAGATAGTTCAAATAATAGAGTAGTTAGCTTTCAATTGTATAACAAGTCTGCTTTAAGTGAGTGATTTAGTTTGCTGACAGGAAGATGAAATACACTGAAGTTGTAGATATTAGAAACATAGATTATAGACTAGTAGTGTCAGATGGTCAAGCTATTCTTTCAGTTAGTAGGGTTTTATACCTGCTTGCTCAAAAATATTGCTGACATAGAAACAGACCCCATTGATTCCCCCCAATTGTTGACAGACCATCAACCCAACTGCAATCTGATAAGGAAAGTTTAACTCAAAGTTAAAGAGAGATAAAACTGACTATACAAATAAATAATGTAGAGAGAAGTTATTACAATGACTGAGCGCAAGTATCTCCTTTGAAACAAATCCAGCAATTTGGCTTGAGGGAGCAGGTCAAGAGAGGCTATATATTCCTGTCAAGGTAGTAAATGACATGCCTTTACGTATATGATCTTTGAAATGCTCTATCAGATTATCAATGTGAGTTAGGAAATGAGTTAAGAAGTTGAAGATAAGAACCTGGATTTCTGCTGCTTCGTGAGATACATCAGCATCTTTGCCACGAAGTTTCTGCAGTGCAACTTCAAAATCTCTCTGGCGTCCTGTCTTTGCCTGCACCAATGATGAGTCATAATCTATGTCTTAATTTTCTCGAATGTTCCATGAGATAAACAGAAAAAGAAATGGAGAAGTACTTTCTTACCAACCATCTTGGCGACTCAGGAATGAAAAAGAGACCGAAAATGATCACAGCGCAGGGAACAATTCCTACAATCACCACACAGATGAGCCTCAGCCACTGTATTAGAGATCATGGGGTATTCTAATTAAAAGCACAGGTTGTCTAAGGAATTCACCGATTATTGCTAAAGCCCTCCAACTTACTACTACCCCAATTATGAAGGAGACAGACACTCCAGTAACGATCATTAACTATATAATAAGCAAAAGGCAAAGTTAGTTTTGATCAAAACCCGTATATGTATAAAGATTGTTGCCAGTTAGCTTCAAGGATTGCATTTCTGATTACACGTTTACCTGGTTTATAGCAGTTAGTCTTCCTCGAAGATTTTTAGGTGCAATTTCAGCTATGAAAACAGGTACCTTATCATCCCCCCAATATTGCATCAAACTTGGTTAATAACATATGTTAAAACTTGAAATAGCATCTATAAGGTACTTCCACTATATTTTGGTCTCACAAAATACTCAAATTATAGAGGAGGGTAATAACTCACAATGTATGAAAAGGCTCCGCTACCGTACCCTGTTGCCAGTCTCCCAATGTCCAGAGACAAAGCTCCCTTCAGTAGAACATGATGTAGAACATGAATAAGGGTTACATATACGAGGAGACTATTTGCTTAGTAGGTAAAAGCACAAAGAAATTTCAAAAGTACAGTTAATACGAACCTTGGAAAAGTAAATAGCAAGCCAACCTGCAACACAAAAAACACAGGACATTCTCATGGCCTGCATACAAGTTTACAGTTTAGATACTGTTAGATAGTGAATATATCAATGAACAAAATTAAGGTGTGCCCTATGTGTCCTATAAATTCAACATAGTTTCTCAATCGTACCCCTTTTCGACCAAGAAAATCTGTGATGGGGCCAATTGTAATAGCACCTATCATTGCACCAAATGTCAAAATGGAGCCAAACATTGAATACTGCACACAGATGTACAGAAGAGAGAGAGTGAAAAGAAAAAAAACGTTAGTTGTTCTTTAGCATTTAAACGAAAATCCAGCAATAGTATTATGCGGAATGTTTACCAAATTCCTTGATAGTATTCTCCCATTTTATTCTCAACCTCTAATTCATTTCAGGAATTAGTTATATATGTTATTTTTGTTTTCTTGAATCTAAAAGTTCACCCTAATACCATGCATGCATTTACATATCCATTAAAATAGCTGTGTTAGTAATATTGTTATAGGTGTCCTGGTCACCTTCATACCTCTGCTATTGATAAATTGAGATCTTTCCTGATGGCAGATTGAGTAGGTGATGAATAACCCACCTAGAAGCCATACAAAGAGTGTCAGAACAACACAATATCGAATGAAATTTTCAGTCCAAAGATCACAAATTTTCTGCTCTGCCAATCAAAAGCTGAATGCATACTAAGCACTTACACCACATCCAAATTCATAAGAGCCACAAACTGCAACGAATGTGCTGAGGTAAACCATCCATTGATCCCCTTTGGTGCTTCCATGACCTGATTCATCTCCAGCAGCCCAGTTATTATCTATCCTCACCAATGGCTCTCTTATCTCCTGCGCATCATTCTGCTCTTTGATGGCCATGTATATAACTCCCCTGTATATCTATGAATCTTTATAAATAACAAAGAGAAGAAGATTCAAACAGATGGATACTTTAAGCAAAAAAAATTTGAAATAATGGAAGGCAAACATAGAGAGCACAATATGCCAGAAGGGTGGTAAATTTTCCAAATTTTTGATAAAAGTTTGATCAATGCTGCCTCTTTGCGGTCATTGGTTTTTTCTTTTTTCTTAGGACTTGTAACAAAGAAGCTCAAAAGTAGGCAATTCTCGTGCTCAATTGGTTAAAACTTGACTTGCTCAAGATTGCTAATAATTGTATATTTGCTGACAAGGCAAGGCAGTGCATCGCAGCATCAGTCCAGTAAAACAGGACAATATATGGTAATCCACCGTATTGAATAGATCATTGTCATTTGCATGACATGCTCTCACTTTCACATAAACGTATTGGCAGAATTGGAAAACGACACAAGCAATCGGTTTCTTCTGTCTTTGAAGATTTTGAGGATATTGCTAGGATTTGTAAATTTTGTATTAGTAGGGTTAGATTAAAATTGCTATAATTTACAAAGATACGAAGAAGACCCTGATCCGAGAGACAAGACAGGAAGGACTTTGGTCAGCAGTTATTGTCCAAAGTTGCAGCCAGTATAGGCTTATAATAATCCCTTTTTTTTTTTTTCTTTTTTCACCTTTAATCAGAAATGAAAATCCAGGCTTTGTAACATTTCTATCCGTTTTCATTATGCTGTCTGTGCATTGATGGCTTTTCTGTGAGATGGGATATTAGGCATTAAAACAATGGCGATGAGTCAGATTCAAAATCTACGTAAAATGACCGTATAAACTCTAATCAAATATCTAGCCCGTTATGTTGTTAGATTGTAAATGAGCACCAAATGTATCGTGGCTTGATCGAATCCGAGCCTTGTATTTCAGAATGCTATGTATTAACTCAGATTATACTTCTTCTCAAGGCTTTTTATCACAATGCTTGTAGAAGTGATCTCCATTTGTTGGTTATTGTCATGCATAGCAACCATTCCTTGCAACAAATGAAACACCTAATTTGTGGCATGAATGAATTTAACCATCCTAAAAATAGTAATACAAAATTCTTGCGGTTTTGAAGCATCTACCAGGATTCCATCTAATTGCAGGCTTGAGCTGTCAAAGTTTTCAATGAGAAATACCACAAAGAATGCTCTTCATTTCTTTTCTTTTTGATCCTCCAATTCGCTATCGGTTAATGGATTCTTGGATTCGTTCCCAGGGTTTTCCCCTTTGTTTCAGGTACAATCAAAACCACGAACAATATTGCAAGAGCGTTGATTGCTGCATACAGAATGAACATTCCTGAAAATCACAAACAAGTAAACTATCAACTCTTATAACTCATGGACATCACACCACAAACAGTAAGATGAAAGGGAGATGTTGATTCTATTATTAACATTGCAACGGTTAGAACTTCTTTCCAGACGGCAGTGCTTCCTATCAGTGCAAGCCTTCCCCCTACAGGTTCTGTGACAAAAGAAAGGATTTGAATCAAAACATGCCCAGTAAAAGGAGCCAAAAAATGAATGGTCAATACCTCTAAGTTAAGATGTTTGGACTTGATCAATGCCTCCTTGTCCATAATTTCCTTTTGATACAGACAAATTCATTTACTTATCTAGAAGACGACCAGTTGGTGTCAATTGGAAATCAGCATTGTCCGAAGACTTTTCATTAGGCGGATCCAGTAAAACACAAGTTTTAGGAGGTGACATACACCATTCCGGTGATGCTTCTACATGTTACTTTCTAGGTCCCGATTTATAAGCCTGTTGTAGCGCACCAGCTCTGGATACCTGAAAGCCAGATACTCAGAAACCTCACTGCCATAGGATTCACTGCAATTTGTGAATCCAACAGGAAACGGGGTGGACTTATGAACCCCCGCAATGGCCCTTAGGAGAGGACTCTGAAATGGGTTCAAGCAAAACACAAGATTTAAGATGCTTCTACGTGTTTCTTTCTAGGTCCCGATTTATAAGCTTTTGTTACCTTTCCCGGCGAATTTTGTTCCCGACAATATTTTCCCCCTTTTCTTTTTCTAAAAGAATATATATATTTTTCATACATTCCTTGCAACAAATAAAACACAAAGGTACGAATAATTTAAACTATTTTTTTTATTAAAAAAAGAAAAAAGAAAAGTGGTGCAATATTCTTGTGGTTTTGAAGCATCTTCGAAGATTCCATCTACCAAGTTGCTGAATTGAGCTGTCAAAATTTTCAATGAGAATTACCACAAATAATGCTCTTCATTTTTTTTTTCTTTTTTAATTCTTGCTTGAAATCTCTATTTGTTAATGGCTCCTTGGATTTGTTCCAGGGTTTTCCCCTTTGTTTCAGGTACCATCAAAGTCACAAACAATATAGCCAGAGCATTGATTGCTGCATACAGAATGAAGGTACCTGAAAGTAGAGACATGTAACTAGTTATTACCATGTATAATCAGAATGCTTTCCAATTTTACTCTTTAGTTTTTACAATAACAAAGGAAAAGGCATTTACCATAGGAGCTCCAACTCATAAGATAGTTGAAAGTGTAGGAACACAACCATGCACCAAACCAGTTCACTAACGTTGCTAAACTTCCAGCCTGCCCTTTAATATTTATAGGGAATATCTGCAGCAGATGGAAATTTGTTTAGAACAGGGACATGATCTATCATGAACGGTTAGATGAGTAAATGTTGCAAAGTTGATGTACCTCAGACATCACAACCCAAGGAACTGCTCCCATTCCTATTGAAAAGGATCCTATGTAGAACTGAACCAGAATCCAGTTGTTAAACAATGCAAGGAGAATAAATGAAAACTTGACTCTAAGAGAGATCGATAGCCGTGGATAATGTTTCGAAAAGGCTAATGCATTACCAGTATGCCGGTTACAGCAAGTATGGGAGTTGCTGTGAGTGCCAGTTCATGAACCTGGTTCACCAAGAGATTTTTTTCAGATTATTGTTGAAAACCTAGACAAATAGAAGTTAGGGTCAAAAATTGAGGGATCACCTTCAGAAAGAATGAAACTGCAGTCAAAAGACAGCCCAGTACCACCCCTGATGCAGAAACCTAGAAAAGAAATTGGACAAAGTTAAACCTTGTGAATATAAATGGGAATTTGTTTCAGCAGATTCTCAGAACTAAAGTCTGTGCACAAGTTTACCAAAATTAGAGGCTTTCTTCCAGCTTTATCCATTACTGCTGCACCAATGCCAGTAACCACAACCTGTAAAACAGAACCACTTCAGGATGCATCTAATGGACAAGATTAAGAGATTCCAAGAGATGTCACAGTAGGAATATAGAACCTGAAGAATAGCATAGGTTATAGTTCCAATGCTGGATGAAAATCCTGAGATAGAACATTTATATTTCAATTGTAGAGCAAGATACAGAAAGGTGCACTGAAGTTGTAGGTAGATACTGAAAACATAGATTATAGTAGTGTCAGAATGCCAAGCTATTCTTTATTAAATCAGGGTCTTTGTACCGGCTTGATCAAAAATATCGCTGACATAGAAACAGACGCCGTTGATTCCTCCAAATTGTTGACAAACCATCAGCCCAACTCCAATCTGATCAAACAAAAAAGTAATATCAAAGGAAAGTTAACTCAAAGACAAAGAAATGTAAAACTGACTGTGGAAATGGTAGAGAGAAACTATTACAATGACTGAGCGTGAGTATCTCCTTTGAAACAAATCTAGCAATTTCGCTTTAGGGAGCCGGTCAAGAGTTTCTATATAATCCTGTCAAAGCATTTACATGGTATGTCTTAACATATCTGATCTTCCAAATGCTCTAAGAAATCATCAATGTGGGTTCAGAGGAGTTCAGGAATCGGAGATAAGAACCTGGATTTCTGCTGCTTCATGAGATATGTCAGCATCTTTCCCACGAAGTTTTTGCAGTGCAACTTCGAACTCTTTATGGCGTCCTTTCTTTGCCTGCATTCATGAGGAGATCATAATGTCTTCATTTTTGTGGAATGTGACCATCAACTCAGTAGAAATAAATAAATAAAAGTAGTTCCGTACCAACCATCTTGGAGACTCGGGAATGAAAAAGAGACCGAAAATGTTCACAGCACAGGGAATAAGTCCTGCAGTCACCACACAAATGAGCCCTCTGCTATTGTATGGGATATAATTGCCTATTTTAAATCTCGAACTACAAGCACAGTTTGTCTAAGTAATCACCAATTAATGCTAAAGCCCTCCAACTAACTAGTACCCCAATAATGAAGGAAACGGACACTCCACCGCAGATCATTAACTGCAGAATGAGTAATAAAGTTAGATATGATCCAAATCCATATAGTTTGTTGTTGAAGTAATCTGTATTTGCTTGCTAAAAAGTATCAAAGGCAAGTCGCAAAAGATTGTTAGTTGTTAGTAGTAAGCTTCAAGAATTGCATTTCTTGTTACAGGTTTACCTGATTTATAGCAGTTAGTCTTCCTCGAAGATTTTTTGGAGCAATTTCAGCTATGAAAACAGGCACCTTCATCCACCCAATATTGCATCAAACTTTGTTATTAACATGTGTTGAAACAGGTACTTGTATGTATTTTGTGGTCTCAACATACACTCAAGTTATAAAGGAGGGTAATAGCTAACCACATATGAAAAGGCTCCCATTCCGTATCCGTTTGCCAGTCTGCCAATGTCCAGAGACCAAGCCTCCTTCAAAAGCAATAAGATGCAGAACAGGAATTAGGCAAATATATATATCTGAGGAAAATATTTGCTTAGTAGGTATAAGCGCAGAGAAATCCTAAGTGTAAAAAACAATACAAACCTTGGAAAAGTAAATAGCAAGCCAACCTGCAACACAGAAAGCACTCGACACTCTCAATGCCTGCATACAAGTTTACAGTGAAGATTCTGTTAGTAAATATTAATGGAAACGGAATTAATTTACTGCTAAAATTTCTGAATAAGTGGTGTGTCCTTTATAATCAACATCGTTTCGCAATTTGTACCCCTTTTCGACCAAGAAGATCAGTGATGGGACCAATTGTGATAGCACCTATCATTGCACCAAACGTCAAAATGGAGCCAAACACTGAATACTGCAAACAGAATACAGATGCACAGGAAGAGAGAAGAAACTTCAGTTTGAAAGTTGTCAAGATCAAAGTAAAAAACTGTTTTCCTTTAGCATTTAAAGGAACATCCAGCGAATCGGTTGAAAGAAAATTTGCTAAAGCATGCTGAAATTACACTGATAGCACCTCAGAGATTGAAAGCAATGGCACAGCAGAGAATGCAAAGCCTCAGTCATACAGTAGAACAAGTACAGATTTCTACTCATGAACTTATTATATGTCCAAAGAACAGCTCATATAGAAATATTGATAGAACAGTTATAGATGATCTAATCACTTCCATACCTCTGCTAATGATAAACTGAGATCTTCCCTGATGGCAGACTGAGTAGGCGACGAATAACCCGCCTGGAAGCCATACAAAAGTTTCAGGATTTGCCTGTCCAGAGATCACAATGGTTTTTCTGTATCAGTTAAAAAACTATAGACACTTACACAGCATCCAAATTCATAAGAGCCACAAACTGCGACAAATGTGCTGAGGTAAACCATCCATGGATTCCCTCCTCTGCTGCTTCCTCCATCAGCCAAGTTATTCTCTACCCTCATCAGTGGCGCTCTTATGCCGTCCTGCAGATCACTCTCTACATCCTCTTTGATGGCCATACCTGCCTGATTATATAACTCCCACTGTCCCTATGAACTTCTATAAATGGCAAAGAGAAGAAGAATCAAAGAGATGGGTAGTGTAAGCAAAAAACTATCAAATAAGGGAAACCAAGAAATCTCTATCCTCTTCTTATAGGCATAGAAATAGTGAGAGCAATATGCCAGAAGGGATGTAAATGCTTTTTTGTACGAAAGTATCTTTTCTTTTTTTGTTTTCTTTATTCCTTTTTTGTTTTCTTTATTCTTTTTTGGAATTTCTGAAGGTTTGATTGATCTACACTGCCTGTTAATGAGACAGTACCTTGTTGAATTAAAAAAATCACAAAATGCTAAATGCAGGCAATTGTTTTGTTGTACTCAAGTAGTTCTAACTTGACTTGCTCTTAAGTTTGCCACCAGTTGCATAAGCCGCCAACGCCAAGGCAGGCAGTAACATCACAACATGTCAACATCAGAACAGTAAAAGAGACATGCCGTTTAGAATAACTCTTTCGTATACGGTCTAGGTTCATATTATAATTTCAAGATCCGACAGAGGAGATAAGGAAGGATGTAGGTCTGGTCGCAGTGGCTGCCAGTATAGGTTCATATTATAATTTCTTCCTTTTCATAAGGAAGGTGGAAATTTATTTTCCAAATTAGAAAATCCAAGCATTTTAACAATTCCATTGATATTTTTTGCTCCTGTTCCTTTCTAATTCTGCAATACACTTAGGGCTCGTTTGGTACACAAGATTAGCTTGGACTGACTTGGACTAAATTTAGTACCATGTTTGTTTTATCTAATCCTAGTCTTAGATGAGATTGCTAATACCGGGCCCACCAAAAACACCTCCTTAGGAGGGGACTACTAATCCCATGTGGAAAGGGGGATTAGCTAGTCTCAATGCTCACCAATGTATAAAATGCATATATTATATTGTAAAATTAATAACATATATTATTATTATTAAACTTACTTACACATATACTATAATGTACATATATACATGTATATACACATAAATATATCATATATGTATATATGTATATATATATACATACACATATATACGTATATAATATATATAATATACATATACATATATACATGTATATTATTATTATAATATACCCATATACACATATACATATTAATAT